TCCCTCGTTGAGACCTGTTGTATCAACATTAATCCAGGAAGGGAAGTAATCAAATAATGATAAGGTGAATCCAGCAGCAGAAAATGCTTTTGACTGATTCATCACTACAAATTTAAAGGCTCAGTCAGTGACTGAAAGGTAGGCTCACTCACCATGTATGAGCTGGGCTGAGAGAGGACACTTTCATTTCTGACCAAGTTTGATATATGGAAGTGATTTCCTCCTGTTTAACCCATGGTTACAAGAAAAATGTCATTGTGTTTTTATGCTGTCCTTCATGATGAAACTCCAAATTATATCATATATAAGCAAAAGTTTTGGCAAGAGAGGATAGGAAGACTAAATCAATAACAAATTTTAAAGGGTGATTTTTCAGATGCACAAGGAAGAGAAATTATGATCAAGTGTTAAAACTAGCTTACTTCAAGCACGTAACTCCTTTTGGCATTGCCTGGGAAAGCTGTCACTGAACTTTTCTTTCCAAACAGCTGCAAAACTGTTCTCTGTATGCATCTAGCATTCTAATTCAAGTGCTCAGCCTAATACTGCATCTTCAGTAACAAATCTCCATGGCACACATCTAACTACAGTTCTCAAAACTTGTTTCCATTTGGTGAGATCTGTGTTGAAAAGCATGCAAAGGGGCAACTAACAAACAGTCTAAGAAAAGAAAAATACTGAAAAAGAAAAAGGTGCAAAGATTTGCAGCTAGATTTCTCAGCTGGTTTACTTCCCTGATGTCGAAAGTACAGCTAGCACATGGTGTCTGACCAAGAACAGCTGCTCCTGGATCTATATGCATGGCAGACGTATTTTCAGGTGTGTCTTTCCCTATCAGTCCTTGCCTGTCCACTGTATGTCTAAACTTGAATAGATCACTTATTTGCAAAATGAAAAATAGAAGTGGTCTTCACTAAATGATACCTAGTTCATTTCCTAATTTACTGATGTTTAACAACTTGCAATGATTAAAAGGCAAAGTCATACACTGTCCTGCTCTTAATCTTTCAGAATTTTTTGCTGAGTGGTTTCTGAATACTTCAGAACTCCCAAATAAGCACTATAACCCAGTCTGGAAAGAGCAGCTCTTTAAACGGCATTCCAACGTCTGCTCTTGGCTCTTGAATATAAAATATGGCAAAACATCTTTCAATTAAGGAGGTAAAACTACCCAACTGCATTTACAGACAATTTTCAATGGGATGCAAACCTACATGTCTCTCCAAACTGGAAGATGATAATTCTATTCAGAACCTAGTTTTGGCACTACTACTTAGGCTACTGGGGTATTATTAAATATGGCAGTGATAGCTCTTTCACTCCATGATCTTCATGTTCATGTATAACCTTTTTTCTTCTTTCTTCCCCCATCCCAAACAACTTCCAGTAACAAGAAAAATAGTGCATTATATTCTCTGCTTACAAACATGAAATTTTACCTCACAATGCAGGACGAAATCCTAGTCTTTTCTTTGCACATAGAAATGGGGTTTGAATGTCTAGTTATGATTACATATGAATGCAAGGAACAGCTGAAGAAGCCTCAGAATTCCTGAGGGAATATCCTTGCCACAGTAAACTCGCCTCTAAGATTTACAAGTATCAGTAGCAATGTTCATACTAAACCGATCAACAAGCAGGCTTTGGTTTCACAGTTCTGGCTGTTTAGGGATGAAAAAGCAGGCTGTTTTTTTTTACAGGGCAGACAAATTCAACTTCATTACACTCAATTGCAGCTGAAGGTACATGAAGTCTTCCTAGACATTAAGATTCATTAGCCAAGCCCTCTCCATGATGTATTTAAATAAAAATCCTTTTTAAAAGGACATAACTCCATTAATGACAGCTCAACATTGTCTAGGACTGCAATACTATACAGTGGCACCATGTAGTGCCACTGGTTCTATTAAAACAGAATAACAGGGATGAATAAGAAGGCAGAGATTACCAGCCCCTATAATGTAATGATTTTATGTTTATCTTCTACCTATGATTACACTCACAGGACAAAGATTTTTGCCAGTGCTACTATTTTATTTATGTTATCTCACTGTGAACACCATTGGAGTAATATCATTGGACAGACCCAGACTATATCACAACAGAACTTCTAATCTATACTTGCAGAAAGCTGTACTCCTGAGGAACTGTGCTACTGTGTGCTGATAAGAAATCTGTTGTGGAACTACTGCAGCTACTTTATGCCTCTGGTAAGTGCTAATCAATTGGTTCTATCCTTGTAGTGGAAAACAAGAGGGATTCATAGTAAAGGACAGTTTTACTCAGTTTTGAATATACACATTTGCACTGAACTTTCTCTCCTGCAGCAGGAACAATCAATGTCTCTCCCCTCTCATATACACATTATTTTTTAGGTGCATGCACACTTGCCACAGCTAGAGAAGAAATGTTAGGTGTAGCACACAGGGGCTTCTAAAAGAGTGGATGCTTATTTTTAGTGCTCCCATCTTTCCTATTAAATAGCAACCAAACGTGTGCTTTTCAGGCACATCACCTGGTCACTATAGTATAAAGGTAAGACTGTAGACTAACTGAGGCTTGAGGGTATTTTAAGTAATGCAGATATTCAGCTTAATTGTTATTTTTATAATTTACTGAATTTTTGAATTTCAAACATTTGCATAGAAGGAAGAACATGACTATTACATTTGTAGTATGTACTTCTGAAGATTTGATGCTATTGATTGTAACCCAGTATGTAAACACTTTTAGCTATGATTCTGTGATTCTACAATTAATTACCCCTGTGTGACTAATTTAGCATTATTTTTTTAACTATATAATCAGGTTATGTACACATGAATTGTACGTAGTAATGTCATAAATTCTTCTGGAACCTTCTGAAATCCTCAAGTAAACATGACAACAAAGCCAAATGCATTTACTCTCTTTGCAGCATTTATTTCACAAATACCCTCAGGTAGATTTCTTAATCCAGTTAATATGAGGCATCTGTTCATACAGATAAATAGTATGTCACGCAAAGGAAAATAATCCATAAAGTCTCAACTCCTGGTCAATGGTCATCTTCTTTTTTTTAATGTAGTTTCTATTCTTAAAGATAGGTGTTTCGCTTTAGCACATCTTTGGGTTATTTTGGCCAATTACCATTTTTTCTTAAATACACAGTTGAGCATTTGACATGGAAAGGCGGTCCTTTTAGAAAACAGTACTGCTTTGTTAGTCTCAGTGGAAGTCAGTGAGGATGTCAGAAGCCAGAATTGTTGTTGGACTGAAGCCTTGATGAATGGCTTCATGTTACCACGTATGAACTGTTATCTCCATTATTAAAGCACTGAAGAATCTTCTGCTGTCAGTACTTCTGTATATTAAGTAAAGCTTGTTTGTCATAGCATGTAGTTTCCTCAAAATCAGATTATTTCCACAAGTCATAGAGACAGAATAAAAGACAATAAAAGACTACTTCATATCTTTTCCCCGCATGCAATTGTCCCATCCAGAGACCTTCAGCCTCACTTGAATGAAGCTGTGCCTAAACAGTGTTCACATAGTTCAGAATTACAATTTAAAATTTCCTTCTTTTAAAATTTCAGAAAGTGTTATTTTTAGGTTAGCTTGAGGCAAAACAAAATTACAACCAAATCTATATGATGTGTTCAAGTGATAACCTAAACATCCTGTAGTACTCTTAGGAGACTGATACTGGGAAAAGCTCTGTTCAAGAGAGATGCAGAGAGGTCTCTTTCAAAAAAATGTTAAGTGAGGCATAATCCAATCATTCTGCAACTTCCAGGATTAAAAATACTGGAAGTTGCAGTTGCCAAATACTGGAAACATGCTGTAAAGGAGAATAGAGTAGGCAAGGCTGCTTTGGTCCTGAAGCAGATGACATGCACATTTTAAGAGGTCATTAGGGAAGATGACAGTGCTAAGAATTAGGTAGTAAAATGGATGAAAGAGCAAATTTGAGAGACTGTGTTTAAGTCACTTCATTTTCAAGAAAGAAATGCTGCAGGCCTGAAAAGAAATTAACAGAAGCAATAAAGTAATCTTCTATTCTGTGGTGCACAAGACCAGAGAGACATGCTGTCCTACTGCCACTAGTGTGCACAATTCACACTAGTGGTAACAGCCACTAGTTTTAAGAACCCATGACCATTTTAGCATCACAGAGGTAGGATGTGCTTCCCTTTCTATTCCACCCTCATGTTGGTGTTTTGACATTTAATTTCCGTAATTTTCATGTTTTCTTTTTATTCTTAAAGAGCAGCAAGCAACTTTTTGCAATGGGATAAAAAATGATGCTGGAATATAGCCCTCTGTATACATGCTTGTGCACTGCACCACCCTGCAAGCACTCCTGCTAGTAGGGAAGCTTGAACCATCTCTGTCTATTCAGCAACACAGCCTGTTCTCAGTCCTTGCACTTTCCATCTCAGATTCTTACTACATGCATGTTCATGTCTTCCCTTGACTGAGAAACATACATATCTCCTAATCCCTTAGTTTGTAGACTAACTGAATGCAGTTCCTCTGAATGCCAGCCACATGCTCTTATCTGTCAATCTACACTGCTTAGTAACCATTAAACATTACCAATCACCTTTGTTGAGAGGACATGGATGATTATTTGTCATTTGAATAGGTCTGCATCTACTCAAAGAATTAAGGTAATAGAGGGGATTAGGTCATTTATATACCTCACAAGAATGCACAGAAAGACAGTCTTTGTCCTGCTGATCTGCCTACATTTTACAGTCTTTGGTTTGTACAAAAGCAACAGATAACTTGAGATTTTAATGCACTGACGTGTAGGAATGGAACTCTGACCTCCAGCAATCCCATCCTATGCGCTGAGCAGAACAGTACTTACTCTATCCTGCAAAATGAACAAATCTCAGGCAAGACTGCAGTTCTATTCTTATATTTTGATTATGTAAAATCAAAACCTAATGCTAGATGAGGATACATAAGCCAGATCAAACCTCAGATAAGAAACAACTTCAAAGGTCAGAGATGTACTAGCCTGAAATCAGCACAGTTTTTGGATCAACGTTAGTTAATTAATAATCTTACACATTATTTAAACTCAAATCCTTAGTCAGTGCTGCATATATATCCAAGTTTTCAGAGCAGTAAAAATGATAACACACTACTGAGCTCAAGATCCCGTAACTCCCTATTATTCCCTTGAGGAATATTTAGCTAATAATTATCCTTTATGTAAATAGTGCAGTGCCTAACTGAAGACTTTCATTCATTCCAACGTTCAAAACCAGAGCTGAACATTCCTGTCAAAAAGCTATCCAGGTAAGAGATTTGTGCGCCCTCCCACACTTCTGAACTCAGGTTTTATTCATTCTTTGTTTTCAAAGGTGCAAAACTGCCTCTTTGCAGTTATTTTACACACTGTTGTTGTTTTTTAAGTGCTTTCATTATTCTGTTCTTCATAAATATTGCTTATAAAGGTAGATACTGGGCAAAGGTTTGTAAAACATGCAGTCAGCAGCAACTGGTATGGAAGTAATCTTTCTTGAAAACCCTGGTCTGAGAGTTCAAGACCAGCCATTTGGCTAGTTTTTATTTGTACTTAAGAAAAGTGGCCTATATAAAGCTTGTCTGGTTCTCAAAGTATTAAATTATTATTAAAATGAGCATTTTCTTAGTGATTAAATTTGAAAGAGGGTTTCCAAAATATTGTCCTAACTTAGTAAACCCAAAATACCAGGAAATTCAACAGAAAAAGACATGAAAATGGGATATCTATAAGTTTTTCTCTACAACAGCTTGATGTGACTGAAGTCCAGCAAAACAACAGGGCAGACAACAGAGTTTAGTGTTTAGCTTTGTGAATGATGGCTAAGATCTTAGGATCTTAGAAAGCTGTCCTGACAGATTTTTATTTTTTTTTTTTAAATAAACAGACTTTCACTTTGGACCAGCTGCCTTTCCAAAAACAAGAAGTGTGATTTTTAGGAACGTTCTTTGATCCCACAGAAAATATCTTTTTAGTGGTCATGCCCTAGGACTCTCCAAAAGAATAACACTGTCTTTCTATCAAGTGGATGCAATATTTTGACCAGCATGTTCTGGAACCCCTGAACAAAACAGGTCCCTGGAAAAACAGTGGAACTACTTGATCATGTATTTCCAGAGTCTGATCATTCCTAAGGATGACCTGATAGGCCAGCCTAACAGCTGCTGACTGGCTGTGTGAGTTTTGCTGTAGCCTGCTCATCACCCCTGGGATTGTTACATGTCAGTGGCTGTTATTTTACTCGCTGAGACACTGGACAGAGAATCCTCAGGAAAAATATGAATTGAATAACAGCTGGTGGTGAATGCAGGCATTTGGAAAAGAGCCTAACCTGCCTTGGAAATACTAGATCGATTGATAGCTGGAAGTAGAGGTTCTGAATTGGAGATTTTAATTAGACATACATGTATCTAAAAGATTGCTTGACTCTCAGGATACCTGCTTAGTATAGTAGTGTTAATTTGTAGAGGATTTAAGACTAATGTTTTGTCTTTCCTGGCTCATAGAAACCAACAATGTTTTTTCCATTTTCACCCTTTTCCTTTTGGATTAACATAAAATTGAAACTCAACAGAAAAATGCTTTGAAGTCAGAATATTTTGCCCACATATAATTAAAAAAATATATAAATAATTGAGCCCATCAAGTTTCGTGTGATTTCCTAAAAAAAAACCAACCTGTAATATTCTTTATCTACAGCCTAAAAGCTTGCTTGGCCAGTGTTTAAATAAATAGCTTGGGTTACTGGCACCTTGCTTAAGTCTGCTTCCAAGTACTTCTAGGTCCTGGCGCTATAAAGCTGAAAGGACAGACAGAAACATTCATTTCACTTGTTCTGTTTTCTCACTTAATCCTTTCAAAAACTCAGGTTATGTCAACATTTCTAATTCTGCACAACAAAAGCAGATTAATAAACCAAAACAGTAGGTACTGAAGAAGTATTATATTATATGCATTTCAAGTATTTTATTTCACACTAGTCATGTCCCAGAGACTAAATGTCCTCATCAGATCTGTGTAAGTCCATCCAAAGAACCAATGGCTGGCTTGGATTTTTATGCCACGATAAAGAATCAGAGTGCCCTGGGGCAGTGCTTCTGGGTACTTCTGAAAAAGTCTGGTTTTGCAAGCATGCCTCTGTACATTGAAACTATGCACCACAAATGAGGCTAATCAGGGATTTTTTTCAAACTCTGTTAACACTCAAAACCAGAACCCTAATGTAGTCGTGGCCATTACAGATCAAGAGAGAGGTTTCTTACATAGCCATTAGAGATCAAGAGAGAGGTTTCTTACAGGCATAAAAGGTTGCTCATATGGAAGATGAGTAACATGAACAGTTTAACTAAACACCTACAAGTGTTTTAAACCAAATGCTTAACTAAGCATTTGAACTAAAGTTCTCCTGTGATTTATACAACAAAAAATCAATGAAACTTCAGATAAATACAAAACCTGATCTATCTACATTAGGTTTTAGCCGATTTTCCCTAGCTCAAAATAGAGAAAATTGCAAGCACCACTTGGCATGACCTGTATGAAGGTCTCTATCCTAACTCACACTGGAAATCACTATTTCAGCAAAGTGAGCAATTCTGCTACAGAATCATGATATACTGTCTGATTTCCACCCTAAATACAGCATTTAAGAGATCTCCTTAGCACAGTGAGGCAGGCTCCCTCAGCCTACACCCTCTTGGGCTTTCTGTACATAGAGCTGCAGATTTTCTGGTGGACAATCAGGATGCGGAGACAAAAGACTCATCAGAATAAAGGTTTTTTGGGTTGTGCTGTTTCACAAAGAACAACTCATCCAGCTAGAATGGTTATGTGTGTACCAGCAGAAACTGCTTGCCAAGGAATCTGCAAAGAAGTCCCACTGAACATATTGTGATGAATGCTTCCTCTCCTGCAGAGAGATTTTGTCAGGTCATGGGCATGGTGAAATAACAGGAAGAAAGGTGGGACTAAGGCCAAATGGAAAGTCAGCAATTTTTGGGGCTCAAACGGTCTTTATTTCTCTTTTTCACAGGATAAACTGAGTCACTGCATTTAACTTAAAAGAATGACTGGCTCAGACAGTGGTTCTGCTCAAGTAGGACAAAAAAAAAAAAAAGCAAAACCTTTTTGCTTTTGCTCATATGGTCAAAGGCAACTTCAAAAAACTTAACCATGAAGATTCCAAACATCACAATATAATTAAAAATAACCAAGATTACTTTTCATTGTAACATTATGGATCATACATACATATATATATATGAATGTGCACACCAGTAACTTTCAATTGCATTAAACAGTTGAAAAAGTTTCAATATCAAAGTCAAATGCAATGAGTAGACAGACATATTCTATGCTATACGCTTCTTCATCTGTACACCCTTGCTACAAACAGCTAATTCAGCAATTGATAGGAAGCCTTCACTTGAATAAAGTGCAAACATTATATTCTGGGAAGCTCTGGGGGATGAGGGGGAGCCTGAAATAGGGCTTGTCCCTTCTAAACCACTTAGTATGGACTAAGCTGAAAATGGGTTCGTTTGGTGAAACAGTAGAGGAATCTATTTGCTGACACCCCCAGGGCTCTTGAATATTGCTGAAGTATTACCATTGTGGAAGGATGGTGGAGTATCTTAGTGCCAGAATCAGAAGGCTGGAGTCTAGTCCTGTGCACAGGAGTAGCCAGATCTGCTCTCCATCCTTCTGTCTTTGGAGCTGGCAAGAGCACTGGAAGCTCACAGCTCCCTGCTAAGCTGCACAAATATACAGGGGATAGCACTCAGCCATGGTGGAATCCCATTTCCTCCAGGTGAAGCAACTAAGTTATTGCTGAGCTCCAGGCATCAAAGCCTGAGAATTCCTGGGTTACACAGAAAAGTGGTTTGCTGGTAACAATGTCCCTTGCACTACTCAGTATGGTTTTACTATGTTATAAAAGCAAAAAACTAAACGCTAACAGTTTCTGGAAACCAACAGCATCTCATTTAGAGCCGAGTGTTTCACAGCTAGCATGTTCATTTGACATGGATTCTGAAAATGTACCTAAGAGAACTACTGGTTATTTATAGGAAGGAAGCCCTATTTTCAGGAGAAAAAAAGAATTTAAGAAAATTATCTCCTGACAGCACTTAGCTGTGTTTTAGCTTGAACATATTTCTTCTATCAGGAAAGCTTCTGACCTTTGTCTAAAATGCATCAAACCTAATTAAAAGATACATGCTCTATGTCATGGCTGAACCAAGGACACTTCCTCGTAACTAGCTCTTTTTTTTTTTTCTTTTACAGAAGCTTACTGTTCTGATTTCCCAGTAAGGCAGTACAGCCAAGATATAAATTACTAACTTACAATTTCTACACAAGATCTCTTAACAGATTTCCAGAGAAATTATATCCTGATAATTTTATGTAAGAAAAACTATCATCACCCCTCAGGAAGCTGCACAAACAAGGCAAATATGTGAATATCAATGTTTTAGGGTTGTAGGGTTTTTTTGTAAACACAAATTTGTTTGCAAGTAAACTATGTTAATTTAGACAGAGGCAGATAACAACTGTGTAACTAAATATACAAACCTACTGCACAGAAGCCAATGCAGTCTTTTTTATGTAGCCTATTAAAAGCACTCATTGAATACTGAAGTATCCACTAGATTTTAAGTAAGTGGAATACAGGCAAAGTAATTATTTCTTGGCTGTCTAAATACACTTGGATGTTAGAAGTGGGTGGCATTCAAACAGGACTTGCTGTCCTGAAGCACAAGCCTCTTATTCTCCAAACTAAATTAGGTAAGACAGAAGTGTTGCAGTTTTTTCCATCTGAAAAATTAGTGTCTTTATTACAGCTGCTAGCTTTCTGTATTTGATAGACTTTATAATTATAATCTCTTAGATATTTAACTTACTGTCGTAACTTTTTTTATTTTTTCTCACCTTTGTGTTCTAACAAAGATTAGATCCAACCTATTTCCTGTCCAAACAGATCTTGCCTAGCATAACCACACAATACATTAGAGTCTAAAGTAAATTTGGCATTGCCGATAACAAATAGGCATCAGTCTTTCTAAATAATAAATTAAATTGTAATTAATTTTCACTTATGATGGAAATAAACCTTACTTATGAAGAAAATTATACTGTGGGAGCTGAAAACTGTTTAATGTAACAGGGATGGATAGAAATCTACTGATTTTAAAAAATATATTTAGACTACTATGCAGTTCATTTTCAACTTGAACAGTCAGTCTATGCAATTCTAACAAGAAAAGAATCTCTTTTCTGCCTTTTACTAAATTATGAATTATGTACCTAGAACACCTAAACATCCTGTTTCAAGTTGTGGTTAAACTTTGCATGGCCTTAGAAATCATGTTGTGTCATTTACAATAATACCTGCAAACTTGTTGAAGACTTCTGCACTAATTACAGATATGTATCTTCTTATCATTTAAAATTTGCTGGCAAAAGGTATTTGGTAAAATCTTAAAAAAAAAAAATCTCAGCAGGATAGACAGCAGACTTTATAATAAGCCATTTCATATTTGGAGGGCTACAGATCAAAAAACTTGCAGGCTGTTGGACATCTATTCTTTTGCATATCAATTATGTTTCCAGGTGGACTCATAAGACCTTTGTTTTTCCTCAGTTTGGAATTCTACACTTTAACTGGGCGTTACCAAACATTAACAAATCAAAATACTCTTCTTATCAACAAGAACAACAAAAAAGTATGAAATTTACACAGAGAATGATGACTTCTGTCACTGGAGTCTAAACCTCTTATTGAGTGTTAAAATAATTAAAATAGAATACTGTGCCAGTGAGTATACTTCAAGTTTTAGGAAATGGATAGATATGTCTTCTGTTGTAGATACTAAAAGGAGGAAGAAACAGTTTTTATTTGTAAGTGAAGACAAGCTTTGACATTATACTGGAATGTCACACCTGGCACCAAAATCTTTGTTACAGAGATCCTGGCTGTATGACACTGGGACTTCAGAAGTTCTTTCCTAGAGATTTTGCATACTGTTGTACTAGCACATATTCTCTTCTTCTAGGTCAGCGAGTCTTCCTTATGTCTCAGTGCTTACACATGAGCATCCATGCTTGGAAGTCTCTTCTTTCTTTCCACTGCAAACCAGAAGACACGATTTGCCACTTGGCATAATCTTTTTGACATTTTCCACCTTCCTGCTCCTACTTTTATTTTTAGACTGTTTAAGGTAGGGTACTTGCATGTTACACTGTTCTTCCTCTCAGTCATGTCCCCACCTACCCCTAAATGATTTATGAATACATTAAGCTAATATCAACTTTATTTGACAACTGAGTAAAAATGCAGAGATTGAGTCTGGTGAAAACAGTTGTGTTCATAGAGGCAACAGACACCAAAAGCACCTGCATCTGAAGAACACAATTTTTGCCAGTCTTTATGTATCAGAAAACTGACATGCAGGAGAACCACAGAAAACACTGTTGTGCTTGCTCTGCTGCCCACAGGATTATTTGTTGTATCGTAGATGCCGGAGGCAAAGCTAGGGTAACTATGGGTTTAAACCTGAAAACACTAACACGCAGCACTCTCCTGAGATGGTAACAGATTCCATCATGGTGCATGGTCCATATGCTCCCAAAGTGGTAGCTGTGAGGAGATGCTTACTAATTAGGCACATCATAACAACCTGCAATTCAATAGGTTTGTGTTATGTAGCAGTTTCTAAGAGTACATCAATGGTTGTGTACAAATTTTTGCATAAATCTAAACTGTTGCTCTTCAGAAAACTCTGCTTTATAGGTTCTACTAGCAATTTTTTTCTCCTGTGCATTGAGGACACCTGCAGTGACAAATCACTATATCACACATGAGCTCTACATCAATGACTACTAGATGCACTATTAGAAAGTCCATAGCGTACCTCACTAATGTATGTTTATTTCATATCATTAAGTGCTGTCTTTGACCACAGAGACCTCTATAATGGTGTATTTGGAAGAGCCGCTGGAAATACTTGTTGTACAAAGAAATTATTAATTTAACTCAGATTTTTTTGTAGTATAACAAATCGGATTCAATCGAATGCATTCTTAAATGTCTGCAAGAAAGCATCAATCTACAGATTTATTTCTTATGCGTCACTGGAGCCCTGTGGTGGTGTTCCTGTTGGGATGGTGCTTCCTTAAAAGCACAATCAGGTGACAGACTTTTAGCATTAAGCATCTGTGCTAGGAAAGCTTCATGACTTGCAACCTAACACACATTTCCTTCATACTGCAGGAACACATACATGAAGTAAACACTGGGACAATGGAAAGACCACTTGAGGCCACCAGGATGGAAAACACCACTTCTGCCTGTGTTCTCATGGAAAGAAAGACTCATGTCAAGATTAACAGGAAACAAGTCATGCTAGCTAAACTGAGGAAGAGCTGCTCCTGCACTCCACAGAAACTGAAGAACTTTCTCATGGACTTCCTTCCTGTTTTACAATGGCTTCCCAAATACAAGTGCAAAGAGTACATTTGGGGGGACGTTATGTCTGGCTTAGTGATTGGCATCATTTTGGTGCCCCAAGCAATTGCATACTCACTGCTGGCAGGTCTGAAGCCCATTTATAGTCTGTACACATCATTCTTTGCCAACATCATCTATTTCTTAATGGGCACATCCCGTCATGTCTCAGTTGGCATTTTCAGCTTGATAAGCTTAATGGTAGGACAAGTTGTGGACCGAGAACTTCTCTTGGCTGGGTTTGACTTGAATGATGATGCCTCACCATCCTTGGGGGACGGCTCTCTACAGAATGACACTCAGTCCAACACAACTGCCTTCAACCTCACAATTGCAGGGATGAATGCTGAATGTGGGAAAGAATGCTATGCTATTGGCATCGCTACAGCCTTGACATTTGTAGCTGGAGTGTATCAGGTAAGTTCTTGCTGACATCCAAAGGCAAGGTATGAAGTTCCTAAAGCTTCTTTGCAGGGCTTAAGCTTTGCTTTGACTCTCTTTCAATGAGAGATGCAACACCAGTTCACTTGAATGACCCTGAACTGTTTCCTTCAGGAAGCTTAACCGTAGGCAACTCAGAAAATGCATGAGGTAGGCAGTTTCCTTGGCTATAAGCAGGCACAGGTAAAAAAAAAAAGTCTTCTGCAAGACCATTAATACTGTTTTGATACTCTGCTGCATCTTGGTCTTGCTGCCTTTGTGGGACCATGAATCCAATACAGATCTCACCATGAGGGAAACTCGCAGGTAGCTGTGTACTTCAACAATGGAGAAATAACTCTCGTTTCTAGACACTTTATTAAAGGTGCAGACCCACTCATCTACATCTACACAGGTTCAGAATGTGCTGCTGTGTTTTGCTAGTGTTTAAGATGTTCTACGGAACTGCTGCCCAAGCTAATTCAGAAGCAGAAAGGACAAGAGAGTAAACAGATTGACTAACCAACCTACTTTTCAGACAATACCTGTGCTGGACTTTTTGAGATTTACCAATATGCTGCCTATCACAAAGGTAACATGAGAACACAGAAGAAAGCATGACAAACATACTTACCTAGTAACTGTATATATTTATAGTTATAGATTAATTAAGAAAGAGCTAGGTATCTTCCTTTTTATTAAGGTCACATTTATGAATACCAAAGTGCCCTTGTGAAGCTGTACTTTCCACAGTCATCAAGGGAAGACAAGGCAACTAGTTATGCACAGTATCTTGGGAAAGTTTGTGATTTCTTCTGACACTTCTGACCTTAGGCATGCCACAAAGACTGTCAGTACTTCACTTTCCCTTCTGTTCACAGGGCTAAAATTACAAGCTGTTTTATATAACAGCCACTTCAGTGCCAATAAAGTAGGCACTTAGCTGTTCTTATTCAAGTTGGCACAACCCTTAGCTGTTGTCATTCTAGTTCTCTTTACAAAAGAATGGCCATTAAGGTTTAACTTTATTCACTTTAAGACAGGGAAAATAAAAGGAAAATTGGCTTTGGTATAACAGAAGGATTTTTTGATCCACTGATTTTTACACTGGAAATAAAATTCAGACTAGTCACTTCAGAGGACTCACTTCAGAAAAATGCTCGACTGACCCTGCCTCAAACTCCTCATTCGCTTCTTGGGTTTGTCGTACCCCACAACAGTAGAAGGAATCACACGTTTTAAAAGCAGACTGGAAACATCAAGAATAATGTTTTGGGACTCAAAATTGTCAAATGCTATCTGCCTCCAGCCAGCTCTCTTCCATCTTCATGTAATTATTTGCAGAACCATTTAAGGCTCATCTGTTTTATTCGTTTGTTTGTTTTTTTGTGTCTCCTCAGGTTCTAATGGGAATCTTTCGTCTGGGTTTCATATCTATGTACCTATCTGAGGCTGTTCTAGATGGCTTTGCAACTGGTGCTTCCTTAACCATTTTAACAGCTCAAGTGAAGTATCTCATTGGAATAAAAATCCCACGTAGCCAAGGGTATGGGATGCTTGTTATTACCTGGATTAATGTTTTCCGGAACATTTCTCAGGCTAATATTTGTGATGTTATCACAAGTGCTATTTGTATCCTGGTGCTGGTTACTGCTAAGGAACTGGGAGATCGGTATAAGCATAAGCTGAAATTTCCTCTCCCCACAGAGCTAGTAGTTATTGTTGTGGCAACACTGGTGTCACACTATGGGAAGTTAAATGAAGTGTATGCGTCCAGTGTTTCTGGAGCTATTCCTACTGGATTTATTCCTCCCAAGGTACCACCTTTCAACTTAATGCTCAGAGTCGCTGTAGATGCTTTGCCTCTTGCCATAGTCAGCTTCGTCTTCACTGTATCCCTTTCTGAAATGTGTGCAAAGAAATATGCTTACTCTATCAAAGCCAATCAGGAAATGTTTGCCGTGGGGTTCTGCAACATCATTCCTTCTTTCTTCCACTCTTTTGCAACCAGTGCAGCTCTGGCAAAAACACTGGTCAAAACATCTACAGGCTGCCAGACTCAAGTCTCTGGAGTAATTAGTGCAATGGTGGTTTTGCTGGTGCTGCTTTTCTTGGCACCTCTCTTCTACTCCTTGCAGAAGTGTGTCCTGGCTTGTATCATCATTGTCAGCCTCCGAGGAGCCCTGAGGAAGTTCCGAGATGTGCCATCCCGGTACCATATGAATAAGGTGGACACATTTGTTTGGATTGTTACCATGTCTGCCTCTGCCTTGATTAGCACAGAAATAGGGCTGTTGGTTGGCATTGTTTTCTCCCTGTTATGCATCATTGTCCGGACACAGAGGCCACGGACAGCCCTGCTTGGTCAGATCCAAGACACCAACTTTTATGAGGATGATTTAGAATATGAAAATCTCTGTTCTGTTCCAAAGATCAAAATATTCCGTTTTGAGGCCCCACTTTACTATGCAAATAAAGACTACTTCCTCAAGTCTCTGTACAGATTGACTAACTTGGATCCTAACCTCGAAGTTGCTAGAAGGAAGAAATATGAGAAGAAGGAAAAGCGGCATCTGAAAAAGGGAGATCACACAACTGCTAATGGACTGGGCACTGGAGAAACCACTCTGCAACTAGTTCCTAAGCAAACTGACTTCCAAGCTCTTGTTGTAGATTGCTCATCCATCTTGTTTTTGGACACCACTGGAGTTAATACTCTAAAGGAAATCCTGAAAGACTACAAGGTCTTAAACATTTCTGTTCTCCTGGCTTGCTGCAATCCCTCAGTGATAGACTCTCTGAAAAGAGGAGGTTACTTTGGGAAAGATTTTGGAAGTATGCAGGAAATGCTGTTCTACAGTATACATAATGCTGTACAGTTTGCAAAAGACCAAAAGCTTCCAGAAGATTGCTCAGTTTAATCCTGTGTCTTCCCTAACGACTCACTACAAAAGGGACAGAAAGGGGCAGCTTGCAATAATTAAATTATCAGACACACTGTTCGCTATGTACAGCAATGGGCATACAAGCCACTCTTCCCTGAAGAGGTCTGCTGTTTGTCAGATGCCACACAGAACAGCCACTGGGGATGCAGTGGAGGACCAGGATGGAACAGGTTGGATTGTATTATCTGCACCTTCACTTTAAAATGCAGGTGGTGTGCAATACGGCAGTTTGGGATTGACTGCCCCCTTGTGCCATGAATGCGTGCGACTCAGCATACACGCCAGGAGGCTCCCGTGCTGGAAGGTCTGCCCAGTGCCAGTTGACAGCATTTCGATGGCTGGTGTGTTTTAGGAGAGCTAAACCATTTCCATGAAAATGCAATTAATCCAGCATCTTGGACACCTAACAGTTTAAATTCCGTCTTGCAAGGTCTTGCCCCTTCCAGTATTCTAGGTGTGCTCCTGAACAACTCCCACTATTTAAATACAAATAAAATGCATAAAATGCTGTGGAATGTAGCATGTCTCGCCACCTTGATTACATAGGCTTACACAACCTGCCAAAGAAGAAACCATGATCCGTCACTGGTTCATCTCAAAACCATCATTTCCAAAAATTACTGCTGGAGTCACTTGTGCCATTGGCTTCCATTTGCAGTAATTAGTTACTAAAAGTTGTGAAACCCTTAATGATGCTGGAAGAAGCATGACTCTGCTGCACAATTTTGTAACTTTTTTAACTAGTAAGGGGATAAACAGAAAAATTAATGGTTTTATCTGGCAGTCACACAGTTACCCACGTCGTTGTACCATCCTGTAAAAATAAGTTGCCTTTGGTGGGCACATGCAACTCCAGGGAAAAATGAGGACTATCAAACATAAAATCTTAGAACTGTGATTCATCTTAGCATGTTTTTTAACTACCACTGCCTGCCTGGGTGCAAACAGAAACAGGAGAAAAGAGGGTGGGATGGGAAGGTAAATCTGTTATCTGACTAAAAGGGGATTGATGGGTCAGTCAGAACTGCCTGGCTGGTCTTCTCTAACAAAGTGCTAATGAAGATTTACAGTAGCATACCTGGGCCAAGGAAAGAAAAAATTCCACCACTGTTTGTACATAATACAGATTTTTTTTTTTTTCCTTCTATTATATTATTCTCTGATTTGAGGTCCACTAAACCATGTTTTACAGGGCTGGGTTACTTTCTATCATAATTTGCATTAACTGTTGTTCATTCTGCTTTGTGTCAAATGATACCCCCAGAGTCAGTTGTGCTGTTACATATACATGTTCTCCCTCTACAAATATGCATATATTTAGATTTGGATTGTAACACAGTTAGTACTCAGTGTTACAGCCTACAGCATTGGCAGAATATAGTCTCTCCTACTCAAACTTGCAATTACCTGCACAAAAGGTATGAAAGCTGCCCTATTTCTCCTTACTCATGGCTGGGTTCATACACAGCAGCAAGAACAGAAGGGAATTCTACCACAGCTGTGCCTCTTACAAACAGCAGACTCTAGAATAGGTTCCATGTATGCAAAAGCCATTTCTCTACTGTGCCATCTAAAATAACAAGTCAGGTCAACATAGCATGTGAATTGTTTATTCCAACTTTTCAGGTCACTGAATGAAACAACACTCAAACTGAGGCTCTCCAGGTGCCCTACAGCCTGTCTGGCTCTCAAGAACAAATACTTTGTTAAAGTAAAAGACAAAATAAAAAACCTCTTCACAGGTTTTGAGAATAACACAAAATTAGGTGACTCAATGCTGACACTTTCATGCACCCATTACAAAAAAGCCTATCAATCAGCTGCATGCCATTAGTACTGCCAGAGCAGTAAAACCTGACAGAAATGACTGAAGATGGGCAGCATTTTTCTGCCATAAAAGATTCTAATTCTACTATTCTTTAAATCATTGACATGGTATAACTAGCTTCTCTCTGTTAAACAAGCAAATGGGCAGAGCCCAAGAAAAAGTATTGCTTTGTGTTCACTTCTCTTTGTAACAATTCTTTGATCAGGGAATATCTCTTTTAAGGTCCTGTTAGGGCCTAGCATGAGGAATTGGGTTTGCAGGCGTTACTGCCAGACAATGTCAATATAGACACTCTTAGCCTGTTAAGCCAAAGCAAGCTGTTGTTGGAAGCCAAATAAAATTGTTTCAGTACAAAAAACACATATCCTAGCAATCTAGAGTTCTTTTACCTTCATAGATCAAGCAATCACCCTAGAATATAAAGGAAAAAAAGCACAAAAACAGCCTTAACTCTAGATGACTCTCATTTTAAAAGACAGAGGGGAAGAAAAAAAGAGATTCCAGTGCTAATGAACGTGTATCCTTCCAACAGTCTGCGCAGAAAAGTGAGGAGAGGCTGCCTCTCTCTTATCCAGCAGGCTGACAAATTGAATGTCAGAAGTCTCTTTTTCATCATATTTATTGTAAGAATGGTACCAAAGGATACCCAAGCAGAGAAACTTGGCAATGCATAAGAGTGGGGGTAAGGTTTAAGACTCTTACTAGGAAGACACACTAGACCAGAAGAAACCATAAAAACAATTTTATGTTTCTGTTTCATTGGCAGAGCTGGCTAACAATTAACTTGTTTGTGTAGGACAATGTCAAACACAGTAGAGAACAGCTTTCAGTGCTATTATGTGGTGATGCTGGGAGATTGTAAATTATTTCTAAGGAGTATGTAAAAGGTAACTAAAAAGGCAAGGGTTTTTTTCTAGCACATTTATGTTTGCTATACTGCTTTACACAAAGATTAAGTGTATGAAGACTGAAGATGTTAAAACCTCCTGATTCTCTTCTCTCCTATTTTACCAGGAACTAGGTACTGTGACTTGGAGAGAAGCTGGGGATAGGCTTGTAATTCCAACTAGGTTAATACTAATGTTGAAATAAAATCATTATATGCCTCTTAGGAAAAGTTATATCCATCAGGTAGATTGACTATATTTTTGTTCACTGTGGTGCCTTGTATAAATCATGTATCCAACAAACTTTAGTACTGCTACGTAAGAATAGGAAAGGGTTCTTAACTTGTGGACTGTGTGGGTCCTATGGAGCTGGGCAAAGAGCTGGGAATTTTCACCTCAAATTCTCCTGATGACTAGTGCAGCATGGCCAGAATGTGTGGTCTAGGTGCCAAAATGTCTGTATTTACCAGCACTGGTAGCCAACAACCAGGGAATTGTCCAGTCCATGACACACACTTTTGGCTCCCCCATAACCATGAATGAATGTTCCTGTGTCACATGACCTAGAGGTAAATGTGTAGTTTTGGTTGAAAAATAAAACTAGCAGTTCTTCAAAACAGTTTGCTTTGTGCTATACTTTCACAGGTGGTGAAATAACAGGATAACTTGGAATAAAGAAAAAGGTGTTTGCTTACCTGAGAGCAACTAATTCCAATAACCAATGAATTCGAACTTGTTCAATGCCACCATGTGGAACAGAAGAAATGTAGGCAAGGTTGATCTCTTGGTCTTTGCTCAGGTCAAATAGATCAGCACGGCTGTGAGGTAAAGGAGGGCTTCAGGGAAGGAAGAACAGAAAAGAAACAACACATTGCAACGTTAACTAGTACCTCCACTGGGTATCCAAGGACAGCTATGCTAGGTCCCTATACCACCAAAGATCATCCCAGGCTTGAGAAGCACTGTCTAACATAGAATCACAGAATGGTTACGGTTGGAAAGGACCTTAAGATTATCTTAACAGGGACACCTCACACTAGACCATGTTGCCTAAGACTTTGTCCAACCTGGCCTTGAACACTGACAGGGATGGAGCATTCACCAGCTCTCTGGGCAACCAGTTCCAGTGTCTCACCACCCTCACAGTAAAGAACTTTCTCCTCATATCTAACCTGAGCTTCTCCTGTTCAAATTTAAACCCATTACCCCTTGCCCTATCACTACAGTCCCTGATGAAGAGTCCCTCTCTAGCACTCTTGTAGGCCCCCTTCAGATACCAGAAAGCTGCTATGAGGTCTCCACGCAGCTTCTCTTCTACAGGCTGAATAGTGACAGAGCAAAATGGGTTTGCAGGCTATGTGGGGCTAGTTGGCTCTGCATGTACTTTGGCAAAGCAGAACACAACTCCAGCCCATCTCATTGCCATGCTCAAAGGGAAGTATTACATGCAATCATTCCTACACAGATAGCAACCTTGGGCAGCAGCGGCCTGAAGAAGCCATACAGTGGCAGTCATCTTGTCTCTGAGTAACTAATGATAAAGGACCTCAGGGTTTTTTAGGCTTTGGAGTGCAAGTCATACTTGCTGGAGTCTGTAGTAAGACAAATAGGGACTTGATCTTCCTGCTGAAGTCCATGTAACAACATCAATTCTTGCTCTGCTGTGGAAGCTACACTTGTAAGAAGCAGAATGAGACCCTCACAGCCTACATATTATTTGGCCATGTTCAAGGCACTTAAAAATATCTCCCTGAGATTGCTTCAAGTCACACAAGCGAGACCAAGAAGTTACCAATTCCACTCATACTAAAAATGTATCAGCTATATGGGGTTTTTAAATTGTTCCAGTAAAGACAATGTTAACTGTCAGGTTTTGAGGGATTCAAATCTGCCTCAGTTCAAGTGGTGGCAAAGACAAAAGTCAAGGCATATTGCATTCACATATTTTTGCTTAGTAGACTCTGAAATTCACTCTAAGCGATAGAGAAATCTAGCTGAAACCAAGATGAGATACAAAAGAAAGCTGGTAGAAGAGTGTGTTTTGTTAGTGGTAGCACCAGCATCTGTCCTTTCCTGTTCTGAGTAGAAAGTGCCCATCCAAGAGAACTTACTCCCACTTGTTTAAGCCTTGCTCACAGATTTTATCAACTACTGATCCATGGCTGTGCCTTTGCTCAACTGTCTGAAACCATGACTAGAAAAGAAGTTTTCACAACTGGCACATAGCTGTGTTACAGTGTGAGCCTTCAAAAGAGCTGGGATCCTACCTTGAGAAATACCAGTGCTGGCCAGGTATCATAACTGAACAGCTGCTGACACATGGAGAGCCCCTGCCTCTGCTGCTCGTCCTCCACCTTCCCCTCACATGCTTTTCATGCTTGCAGTTTTCCAAAGTTTCTTTCACACAATTAAAATCTCAGGTGTTTCTTAGGCTGCAGTTTAAATGGGCAAAACATACTATTCTTTAAGACAGTTTTTCACTAATGTTTCCTAACATTACAAGTATTAAAACAAAAAATGAAACAGCCAAAGGGAAAAAAAAAATAATCCAGACAGCCCAAACATTTCTGTTTTCCCACTGACATGGAAAATTAATGGAAAATTTGTCAACTTCTGTCTTTGGCTATCCTTATGCATTACACAAAAAAAAAGTGCAGAGTCTTTTTCATCCAAAGCACACACTGCAGATTCCTCTATCCCTGATGTAACTCTTCTTCCTGCAACTGTTATTTTGTCCACTGTATGTCTAAATGAAAGAATTCATGACTAGTTTAGAGTAAGATATGAACATGGCTGAGGAAGATATCATCTTTTGCTTTTAAGCCTGCCAGAAGCCTTCGTTTATCCCACAAAACTTGAAGGCCGCTCAACCCCAGTTAGATAAGCAAGACAGGGCTTCCTCTGAGACACAAAGCACTACAAGGGTATGAAGCCGTGGAGGTGAGATTTGTGCATGCTCCCTGACTCACTGGCCACATCAGGAAGATGGTGCATGCTTCGAAGTGTCCTGCAAGAACAAACTCCTACAACTGACAGGCAGGGAAGCTTCGCCCTGGCCTACGTAGGGGCTGTGACAGTGGAAACTACGAAAAGGAAAGGGAATGAGTGCCGAGTATCACCATATGTACTGTGCTGGGGAAGGGGAAGGACTTCACATGACCTTGCACTAGAAGCAAGGGCGCAAGTCAGAGGGGGGTTGGCGACCGGCCCTGTCTTGTGGTCTGCTTTGTTTTCACTCTCTGTCCAGTCCCTTGTCCAGCTCCACATATGTAACACAGCACAGGGTGCGCAGCGAAGGGCGGCGAGGTGCCGGACCCCTGACCCCACACCAGAAGGCCGGGAAGGGCCCAGGCTGCTTCAGAGGGGCCTCGTTCGCACTCCCTGGAGACCCTCTGCTGGAAGAGGGCTAGAGGCACCCGGCTCCACCCCGGCTGCTCTGGCCGGCGGCAGGGCTGCGCGCTTACCAGAAGCCAGTGCTCCTCCAGAAGTGCGGCAGGGGCCGCTCGGCTCGCCGGGCATCCACGGACACCACGTACGCCGCAGAGCCGGCGCCAAGCTGCACGGCCACCCAAAGCACCAGCGCCATGGCGGGCCGGGTCAGGAGACGCCGGCGCCTGCTACCGACGCGCCACGGACGCGACAGGAATAGCGGCTCCCGCCCACGACGGGTCCCGCCCCCAAAGGCAGCGGTGAGGGCGGGCAGCTCGCCGGCGGAAGCGCTGCTCGGGTAGTTCCGTAGACCCGCCGAGTCGTAGGGTGGTTTGGGTTGGAAAGGACTTTGGAAATTGTCTGGGTCCAGCCTTCCTGCCATGGGCAGGGACACCTCACACTAGACTGTGTCAGCCAAGGCTCTGTCCAGCCTGGCCTTGAACACTGCCAGGGATGGAGCACTTACCACTTCTTGGGTAACCTGTTGCAGTGCTTCACTACTCTCACAGTGAAGATTTATTTCGTATATCCAACCTAAACCGATTCTCTGTCAGCTTAAAGCCATTCTCCCTTGTCCTATCCTATCCTACCCTATCCTATCCTTACCCACTCCTGTAAAAAAGAAAAGGACGTGTAAAAATTAGTAACGTCTTCGCCTGAAGCCCAGGTGTCTGGTGCTTTGGTTGGTTGGTGCGGTGGTGGTGGCCAGTGAGCAGGAGTTACTTCCCTGCAGTTGCGGCACGGCGTGCAGATGTCGCTGATGCGTTTCTCTTGGGTACCACAGGAGGGGAGTATTGTCTTGTCTATTGTCACGTCCTCGTGCTCTAAGTTGACAGGCCTGTAAGAAGTAGCGTCGCACAGTAGTGCGGGTGAACAGCCTTCCCTGAAAAAGCGCTTTAACAGAATTCAAACTATGTCTGCTTCTTCAGTATAAACACGTTTGTTGATCTTAGTATGGCAAAGGGCTTTAAATGCATCTGATAACAGAGGCGCTGTAGATGGACTTTCTAAATGCTTATTTCTTATGATGTATATCTGAGGACTGAAAGAGCAGCCATTCTGAGTTTCCTAGAGGATTTCATGGTTATGTTTGTCTCTGCTTCTCCACAGCCCACACAAAACTTTAGTTACAATCCATGTCCTGAGGAATAAACAAGTGAAAATGTATAAATCTTGTACCTTTCTGTTTCTGGAAAGACTTCCAAACCTGTATTTGTTAATTTGTTGAGTTGCATCACTGATATTACACAATCAGCATCGCAGATTTCCAAAACTTGCTGTCAGACCAAATGCAAACAATTTAATTCTAATTCGCAAAAAAAAAAAAAAAAAAAAAGTGTCTGTTGAATTCTTTTTACCAAGCATTACGACAAATGGTAAGTCAACAGACACATTACAAACAGATATAGAGATAATAAGTATTGCCTCCTGAATCAGGTGCAAAACAGAAGCTGACACAAATCTTGTAGCAGCTGGGAGCATCTGGAATCTGTAACCATAGCTCAAAGATTTGCTTTTGCCCAGCTACAAGTGATTCGACCTTGACCACTTGCTTAGTACCATGCAAACGGTACTAACTGCTGAAGAAGATCCAACAGTCAATGTTCTTTGAATGGCAGCATACAGTACTACTACTGTTAGACCACAGAATCTGAGTTTCCCTTCTGGTCTTTACCTATTCCAACTTAGGCAAAAGAAAGGTGCTGACAGAGCATAAATCAGATTTACCTTTTCAGATTCAGTGCACATACAGAATCAGGCAGTTGCAGACAGTGTGGTTCCCTCCTACAGCTAGATGCAAAACTTCTGATGGGCACTTCTCAGGCCATGCAGCTTCTTCTGCTGGTACATTGCTACCAAAATTATTTTGTTGCCTAGCACAACATCTCCAATGAAAGCTAACTGAGGAGGGTTCTGCCTGCTCCTTACACAGGCATGAATCCTTTCTCTTCCATCCTTGTAGGCATGTTTTCCTCCTCATATTCAGAATCAAGCTTCTGACAGTTGGGCTATTCTGAAACCTCATGGCCCTCTGTATGGTTTGGGACATTCACACTTTTGCCTATCAAAAGGCATGGGTGATGATGAGAGAAAGTTGTGCTTTTTTCTTTCTAACTTCATGTTTACTCTGTATGAACATTACAAAGTCTTTGTGCATAAGTACAGAATAGGCTTCACTGAGTAAAACAGAAAAGTGAAGTAAAAAGAACAGGCCAGAGTCTCGCTTTCAGCTACATCTTTGTGACATCCAGCAGAGACAGTTTCAGTTATTGTAACAAAACTTGTATACCATTTTGGTATCTAGGAAGAGAAAAGCAGAGAAAAGAAGGAAAGCAGAGAAAGAAGAAAAGAGGAGTGATCACCAGTCCAGGATCCAGTGTTGGTTCTGCCACCATGGAGGGTCTGGAGTCAGCAAGAGACCACCTTTCTTATAGTCCTTTTCTTCTGGCTTACACCCACTATGTAAAATAAGGTGATGGTAACATGCTAATTCTAACATTAGCCTTCTAGAATCTTCCAAAAATTAGTGGGATCATTGGGGTCTGTTGTGGTCTTGAAGCTCCCTCTGTTGGGGTGACATTTTTCTTGGTGCAGATATAAGTTTCAGTTGCACAGAGGGAAGTTGGCTCAGAGAAGTACTGCCCCACCTCCACAGAGCCTCTTTTCCAACGACAACTTCCTTACCATGCAGTGTCAGCCAAATGTTTGAGACAACCAATGCAATCATAGCAGGTCCCTACAAGTGCGTGTCCTGCTCCTCTGTTCAGAGGCAGTAGATGGAGCTGATCAGGCCGTTAATGGCTGTGTTAGCCCCCTTAGCTCCCGCAGCCTCAGGGAGCAGCTGGCTCTTGCTGTGCTCTCCCACATTCTACCCTTGGTGGTATCCACCAAGATAAGCTTGAAAATTGTAGAAAACAGTCACCTGACCACCAAATAATCATTACCACAGCTAAAACCATATCAGCCAAGACAAACCCTAAGACAACACACTGTTAGGTTAACGTAAAGCCCTTGGCCTAATACTGGTAATGACAAAATTATATGTATCAGTTTATATCTGAAGACAAGAGTAGATGTACAGTGCTGAACTGCAGCACAGCAAGGCCCTTTAGTCATGTTGAATCAAGATGGGTTAGGAGGTCACATCTGACTAATAAGAGCCATGCCCTGGAAAAATGGGAATGGATTTACTGAGCAACCCTATCCAATATACACCTGGGTGAAAGCCAGGGTAGAATGACAGATATCACCAATACAGGGAGGTGTCAAATCCTGTCCTTGAATGTATCTAGCTTTGGGATATTAAAGATATGCACACAGTTGGTGTCTAGAATTGCAAGAATACCCACAATACTGGTTAAATTCATTGTATTCCACAGAGGTGATAACAAGACCTCCTAATCACATCTTAGGTAAACTAAGTAATGAGAAGGAAAGCACTTGTGAAGGGCTGAGAAATATTTTAATCAGTCTGAGTCTGGCTGTTTGCGTCTACCCAGACTACACTGTATATTAGCAACAGCATTGCCAGAAAGTCTACTGCAAAAGCCGTATAACACTTGTAAAACTCGTCAGCATTGTATCTCTAGACAAAAAGTGAGAGTTGGACAAAAATTATGATATGGCACCAGGAAAGTAGCAGGCACTGAAAAATCTGAAACCCCTGGGTGGAAATGACACATCCCACCCTACACAGGGGCATAAAGCACCAGATGTTTTCTACTTAACTCACCAACCCTTGCTAATCCAAAATGGGTGACCATGCAACTCTAGGGTATGCCCAGGGTCCTTCAAGATTTCAGTGCCTCAGAGGAGAGCACCAATGTACCACATTCCATTTCTAGCTGGGGCTGATAACAGCTGCTTTGTAGAAAAGCAATGGCAATCACCATCAGAGGTTCAGATGCTATGTCTGCAATCTGCACAGCCTGCGGGCAGAAACCTAGTGCTAGAGGTACTGCAGGCCTTGAAGCAAGATAAGACTTGAGAGGAAAGGCAACAATGAGCTGCAGGCTACATCCAGTGTGTAGTCATCCCAAGGGCTGGGAATGAATCAATGAGGAGGAGGAAGCAAATCCCAGGCTCACAAAGCCCACCAGGTCCTGGGGAATAGCTCCAACACTGGCATAAACTGAGTTTTAAAAACAAGCCTTCCATAAGAAAAGAAGCACTGTGGTACATGCTGCATTGCTGGTAAGACTGCAAATGTGAGACACATATGTCTGATCAACAGATACCTTTAGTAAGGTGCCAACAATTGCAAGCATGGCAGCAAGTAGGTGGTGAAGGTGAGTGTGTATGTCTTGCTGGACTACTGCAAATGGCAGCATCACTGGAGAGCTAGCTTTTTACAAAGGCTGCCCATGCTATAGAAGTTACTAAGATACATGAATTGGAGCACAATTTTGTACTGTGCCTTCTTCATCCTAACAGCAGGCTGTTGAGTCAAGTCTGGTCTCATTCTCTCCCACACCTGTCCCTGTGCTTTCACTGTTGCGAACTACGAGGTGCCAGAACCATGCAGTGCCACATCTCTGCTGCTTGCCAACCCAGAAGAAAACAAACTGACCCAAAAAAAAAGAGTTGCTTCCCACCCAGCCAGCTGAATTTTCCTCTCTTCAGCTGCCTGGCTGTCAGACATGACACATGGGAAACAGCAGAAGCAGATAAGCAGTGACAGAGAAGAAGAGGAGGACCAGCCCTTGTAGTAGGAGCCCTGGTTAGACTGCATGAGATGTGACTTTAAACAGAGACTGTTCGGTCCACCTGCCCAAAGACCAGCAGCAACCATGTGGGAATGTGCAGTTATCCAAGAAGCAACGGCTGTCTCAGGCCCTGGAATGCCTCATCATTATTAGGACTTAGTTATCACCAAAAAAAAAAAAAATCCAGATACCTGTCTGTTGTTTCTTCCCACCTCCAAGAGCAGAATTTATGCTCCCCACCTATTGGCCTGTGGGTTCTCAGATGCCACTTGAGTTTGCACTTCCACTTCCTGCTTAACACCTTCCTTGGGTGTTCTCAGAAAATAGAGTTTGGAGAAAACAAGAATGCTCCTGCAGAAACCTTGGCTGCCAGTGAGGATAAAGGCAATGTCTCCAGTACCGTGTATGGAACCCTCTCTAGAACTCAGCTTGGGCCCTGCTGCTCTTCCAGAGCATTAAGATACTTGAGCTAAGCCACAGTATAAGCA